TTTCCCTCAAGTTTATCATCCAAGTATCCAATCCATACCACGACGAATGAAACCAAACAAGGTGAGTAACAATTGAATAAACAAGGAAAGCGATAAACAAGCAAAAAAAAGAAAGGACCCAAACACACAAAAACGACCTAGGTTAGGCTTGACTCGCTTAGGAAAAAAGTCCCCAGCAGAGTCTCCAACTGTCGCTACGCGAAAAAATGACACAGAGTCGCCACCGGATTTTATTTATCCCAAGGAGGGAAAGGGAAATAGCGATAAAACCTTTTTTAGGAAAAGAGCATGGTCGTCGCAACCAAGTATTAGGGTTCGGGAGTCAGTTATGCGAGGGGAAGGTATTAGCACCCCCTCGCATCCATCGTACTCGATGGGAACCTCCTAGGTTGTTTTGCTTGAATGGGTGTTTTATCTAAGGGTTTGCTTGTTTTAGGAAAAGAGGGGTTGGTTGTTTATTATAGTGCTCGCCAAGGGTTGTGGCCCTTGTGCCTACGTATCATCACTTAAAAGAAGTGAAGAATCAGAGCTCCGTAGTTTGGAGGCTTATGAAATTGTTGTTTGTTGGTTGATTTTATACCTTGAAAAAGGGTTTTTTGGATTGATGCCCTAAGGCGAAAATAGGCTTGATGAGTTGATGTTATTTTTAAGTTTTTTTGAATAAAAATGGTTCTTAATTAAGATTATACACAAACGACTTTGGATAGAAATGAATGTCTCGAATAACCAAGTCGAGCGACTTGTATTCAAAACATTCGGAACGAGTGTAGGAGGGTTCCATTCTCATTCCTTCTCCACCAGTTTAAAGTCCATGGTGTATAGTCCTAATTGTATATTTATTGTATTTTTTTGAATTTTTATTGAGAAAAAGAATCACTTGATGTTGGATCAAGGTTTATCGTTTGTGAAAATGAATTTGAAGTGATACAGACAAGGCCGGTGGCGATGCACAAGGCAATCGGCTTACAAGGTTGAAAATGGCTCGATAAAATCTAGAGTTTACTTTTGAAAATGGTTTTAGGAATCAAAGGTCAACAAGGACCATAACAACATTCACACTAAAAACATACAAACATATGAAGTTAGTTGCATAAAAAAATTGAGACATGCCAATAAAAACGCCTTCAAAGAGTTCGCTGTGCGAACTCTTTGAGAAAAAATTGTTTGAGGTAAAATGTCGAAAAAAATGGTAAAACAGACGTATGACACGGGTGGCCGTGTTGTGTGACACGGCCCGTGTCATGGGGTACATGCAATGTTGGTTTTTAGGGCTTGACAGAGGTGCAACACGGGTGACCGTGTTGTGTGACACAGACCGTGTCGTAGGTTCTGGGACAAAAATGATTTTTTAGGGCAAACAGAGGTGCAACACGGGTGGCCGTGTTGTGTGACACAGCCCGTGTTGTGAAGCCTGGGGATTTTATACATTTGAAACCTCAAACAGAGGTACAACACGGGTGGCCGTGTTGTGTGACACGGCCCGTGTTGTGAGGCCTGGGCATTTTGCACTTCAAAACTTCAAACAGAGGTGCAACACGGGTGGCCGTGTTGTGTGACACGGCCCGTGTTGCACTACCAGAGCCAAAACCCTAACTTTTTCTATGTTTTTCTTCCATTTTTATGGTTTTTTAAAAATGGTTTCTTGGTCCCTTATGGGACCTTACATGATATATCTAGTACAACAACACACAAGAGAGTAAATGAAATGAATGTAAAAGCAAAAAGTAAAGGGAGAAAGGTTTGAAGAAATGGATATCAAGAGCTTTCTATTCTTCTTGCAAGTACTCCAATGACCTTTGTTGGATGTGCTCTCCACTCTTCACTCTATGTTGTGAAGGTTTGGTTTCTCAATGATCCTCTTGTGCTTCTATCTCACTCTTTTTTCTATTTTTTAGGGTTTGTTCTTCTCTCTATTTTTCTGGTTTTTTGCTCTTACTCTTTGCTCTCAATCTCCCTATCTCAATGTGTGTAAATGATCTGAATGATAGTGAATGTATATTCCATGTGTTGTGAATGTCTATGCTCTTGTTTACAGCTCCTTTTCCACTTTTCCTGCTGCTTTTTCTGCTGTACCAAAACAACAGCTTTTGCACATGCCCCCATTTTCAGAATTTCCATTCTTGACAATGTCTATTACCACTTTCTTGGTGCAGCCCCACTTACTTCCATTTCTAGTATGTCTTTGCTGCATTTTTCTCTGCAGCACTCTACCTTGCTATCCATCCTTGTATCCATTGGTTGGTTGGACATACTCATGTAATCAACACCACTGCCTTTTGGACAGAATTTCAAATTCTGATTTTTAGTATGTAGATGCATCATTGTATGTTATTCCCTTGGTCTTGTGACATAAAATGATTTTGTAACATGATACATATTGTCACTTCTTGCATGGGGCTGTTTTGGATTGCATTCATATTGCTCATGGTTGAACATGCATGGTCTTGATCTTAACATACCAATATTGATTTAACTCTTAAGTATTTTTCTTTGGATATCTGTGAGCATAATGTAGCACATGAAAACTTGGTGTGGCATGAAGAATACCATATCATGGATTTGATTAGAGACTTTAATAGATCAATTTCTAAACATTACTTAGAGTTGGAAATATTGTAACAAATGACATTCTTGTAATGTCATAGAAATTTATCTTTGTAATATTCTTGCCTCCAATATTGAATTCGTGATGGATTTTCCTTGTACCATTAGACTTGAAATGGATGAAGTCTTGAATTATGCATTTATGATGTTGACTCATGCTTTGCAAATTTGAACTCCGCTTGATCAAGAATTTGACATAAAGTTGGATAGAGCAATCTTGAATTATGCCTTGCATTTCATGGTCATTAGGAATATATCTTGAATATCCTAATATTGTGTCAAGTAACCTCTCCTTGAAGAAATCTACATGAGTAGATTTTCTCACTTAGATCAAACCTTAGATGAGGAACCTTTTCTTCCATGTAGCCCAAGATAGACAAGTTATCTTATTTGAGATGGAAAACACATGAACCGACCCAATCCTTACCTTATGAACCCACATGCTCAAAAATGCAAAAGAACAATGTATGACATGACAAATGTAGGGTATAAAGGATAAAGGTGAAAATGAGGGTGTGACATATTCTACCTCTAAAACTTGTCATTTGATATTGCACCTGTATAATGCCTGGAATAAACCATGAACTGTTTCCTGTGCTTAAAATAACTTACTGAAAAAAATATAATCTGGTACCCGATCAATGAGCAAAATAAATGCTAAAGCCTTTGATGCTTGTTGCTTAAAAACATGGAATAAAAGGAAGCCTTAAGCCACAAAAAACTTGATCCCATGTTTCAAGAACCAATGCCATGATATGATTAATTATGCAAATGAATGAAGCATAAGCCAGTTAAGGTTAGAAACGAGAGGGCAAATTTTGGGGTGTCACACACACCTTTTTTTCTCTACTTTGTCTTTTTGATAGGAATTTCCTTCTCCTATCTTCGAGGATTCATAAGTTCTATCATCAATCTTATTCTTGTGAGGACTCGACCAAGACTTCTTGCCCTAAGTCTTATCGATTTTTCCTTTGAACTTGTTGGAACCACCATTCTTCTTCCACGATTGAGCTTGTAGTGTTTGTATCGAGTCTTGAACTCGTTTCCTTTCGACAATCCTAATATCATACGCTTTCAACGAAACAATCAAATCTTCCAGTTTTAGGGTTTCATGATTATTAGATTCTTGAATAGCTACGATAACATGATCAAAGTGAGAGGTCAACATACGCATTACCTTCTCAACTATTATTTTATCAGTTAGGGTTTCACCATAATCTTTCATGAGATGGACAAGTTTCTGCACCTTCGACACATAGACTGAAATCTTTTCATCTTCTCCCATTGACAATAATTCATATTGTCGTTGCGAAGTTTGCAACTTGGCAACCTTAACTTTCTCACCTCCTTCATAGTACTTGACAAGAATATTCCACACCTCATTCGTCGATTCGGCATGAGCGATTTTGTTGAAATTAGCCGCATCAACCGCCGATTGGATGTAGAATGTTGCCTTGCAATCCTTCTTCTTGGCCTGCTTGCAAGCAGTTTTCTGTGCGCGGTTGCATTTACACCAAGCGCATGAACGACATTTGTAACCACTTATAGAGTTTCATGAAAGTCAAATAGAGATCGCATCTGTTTTCTCCATCGGAGTCAATTCTTGCCGTCAAGAGTTGGAAGAGAGTTTGATAAATTTCTATTACCATTCATCTTTGCAGCGATTGATCACAATAACCCACGATCCCGAAAACACGATTTGTAAAGTGTTATTCTTGAAACAGGATCAAGAATCTAACTGAAGCTCTAGATACTAATTTGTTAGTGCGTGAGACACTTTTAGTGAGGAGAAAAAGAGAAAAAAAAAAAGAATTAATATTATTGAATTGAGTAAAACTGAATTACAAAATATCTATTTATATACACTAAAATAATAAACTAAATAAAAAAAAATCTTAAACTCTAATTAGCTTTGTGCTTGACCACATTATACAACTTAGATTATATATAATATCTCAACAAATAGTTCATTTGGTGTATTAGAAGGTGTTTTTGTTAATCATTATCCAACGAATAAACATATCTAAAAGAAGGACTTTAAGTGACTTGGTATCAAGTTAACCTCGTCAAAGAATTCCAACCCAATTGATTGACCAAAAAAAACTCATCACCAAATTAATCATATCAATAGAATTCAAACCACAAATTAAGCTAAATCCTAAATTCTTGAATAATAACTTCATCAGTTCAATTTCATTTTTTTTCATCTATAAAACCATTTTCAAAATCAAAACTAACAAATATGTTTTGTTTCAATATTTTCTTTTAAAAAATTTTGTAAAGTTAATTTTAAAAAATAAAAAACAAAACTCATTGTTATCTGTTCCTAGTTCTTAAAACGTGTACCAAAAGAGTCTCAAAGCTTTGAATTGAACCAAACCCTCTTCTCTCTCAAAATGCTTCCTAACACCATCTTCAATTCCCACTCTCACATACCAAAACTTCCCATTCATTTTCCATTCCATTTTTCTCACAATTTCAAACTCTGCGCCACCACTTCACATTCCGAATCTGATTCCGACTCTTTCACTGTCTCCTACCTCATCAACACCGTCGGTTTCCCTCGTGAAACAGCTCTCAAAGCTTCAAAACGACTTCGTCTCAAATCCCTAGAAAAACCCAATTCAGTTTTCACCTTCTTCAGAGACCACGGTTTTCCAGACACCAGCATTAAGAAAATCCTCATAAAAGAACCATGGCTTCTTGCTACAAATACCCACAAGTCAATTCTTCCAAAGTTTGAGTTTTTCCTCTCCAAAGGCGCTTCACCCTCTGAAATTGTTACCTTATTAACGGCGAGCCCTAGAATTTTACAAAGTAGTTTGGAAAATCGAATTATCCCTCTTTTTGAATTTTACAAGAGGTTTTTGAAATCTGATAAAGCTACCGTTTGTTGTATGATTAGAAGCTCGGTTCCGTTGTCTTACAATCTTACTACGGATAACGTTAAGTTGATGATCGATTACGGAGTTTGCGATTCCAGCATTGCTAGAGTGTTTCTCACAAAAGCAACTATACTTGGAACAATTGATTTGATTAATACCTTGGAGGAAGTTAAGGGTTTAGGGTTTGACCCTTCAACTTCCAATTTTGGGACAGCTTTGATTGCAAAGAAATATATGAGTAAAGCACATTGGGATGAGAAAGTTGATGTCTTTAAGAAATGGGGCTGGTCTGATGAAGCTGTTGTTCAAGCATTTAGGAAGCATCCTAGTTTGATGTTGACTTCGATCGATAAGATTAATTTGGTGATGAGTTTTTGGGTCGATCGAATGGGTTGGGATTCCTTGGCACTTACTAAAAAGCCACAAATTTTCGGTTATAGTTTGCAGAAAAGGGTGGTTCCAAGGGCATTAGTTCTGCAATATCTTATGATGAAAGGATTGAGGAAAAGGAATGCAAGCTTAGTGACACCATTTAGGTGGTCTGAGAAACAGTTCCTGGGCAAATATGTTGTCTGTTTTAAGGGTGAGTCTGATTATTTATTGAAACTCTATGAGGAAAACATGAATCTTGCGAACACCAAGGAGAACATTGACATGCCATTCACCAAATAGGTGAGTTCATAATCATTCTTGTTTTGCAATGCAACATTATCTTGTTAGTTCTTAAATTTGAAGTAATTATCCTTGAAAGTGACCTAGAAAGCCATCAAAATATTGAACCAAATGCCGTTTACACGCCCAATATTGTTCTGCAAATTATGTCAGAGCCAACTGATCCCAAATGTCGTTCCTCAATTTTATCACCGCCTCCACTTTATTGGTGTATCTCTTGTTAAATTGACATATAACTTTTTTTCTACTTTAAAAATTCTTACCTTAGAAGTGACCATGTTAGATTATTGAATGAGAAAGTGAAATGATGCATCATCTACCCAGGACATTTGTAGTTTTTTCACAATATGTATTTGATCCTATTGGATAGTATGAACTTGTGGTTAATTTGACGATAAGCATAAGGGAGTTTAAATTTGTGGATGAGGATCAATCAAGGGTATGAATAAGAAAATTAAATATTATATTTCGTTTTATTTTTAATAATTCTATTTAGTTTTAATGTGTGATTGCAATAGTGTTAATTTAAAATTGATTGATGTTTGTTTACTTGCACATATTTTAGGAAAATATGATGTAACTCAATATGAGCATATATAGTGTTTATGACCCATTTAAGATTACAGGCTCCTATTATAAATAAGCATTTAGTAATTTTTGTTTGGACAAATTTAAAATGAAGTAGAATTTTCTCTCATGAGAAATGTGAGTGAGTGAGGTAAGTCTCATTTTTTTTGTTCTTAGATCTGAAGCTTAATTGGTTCGTATCCTTACCATAGTGACAAGTTGTCATTAGCTTATCAATCTTTTAGGTTGTTGCGCTTTCCTTTTTGCTATTTCCCCCTTTAGTTTACTACTTTATTGAAAGAAATTATTTAGATAGATCTTCATCTCATGTGCAAGGAATTTATCTAATTGCCCATACCAAGTTTTAGGAGTTTGGTATAGATTATAAAGTGTTCGCTTGAGTTTGAAAACAAAGTCATGGTTGTCACAATCTTTAAAACTTGGAGGTTGAGAGATGTACATTTCTTTGTTTAAAAAAGCAAACATAACGTCTAATCATTTCCTGTCTATCTATTAGAGCGTAAGTCTTCTTGTACAAGTTGTTAACCTGTGGACCTATGTTTACACTCAAATTACGAAGCAAAAATAAACAAAAATCAACTCAACATCTCATTTGAAAGGGAGGATATATTTAACTCCACTTCCATTGCAATACAAGAAACACTATTCGTTCATCTCATTCTCACTATTCCAACAACACTAATCATTTCCCACAAAACCGTTGTATTCAACCCTTAAACATTTTATTAAATTTTTAAACAATGTTGAAGAAATGTTTTTTCTACCAAAATATTGTTTTAGGTCTCATCACAAGAAGGTCAACAACCCTTAAAATTCGACCCTTTTTCTTCCCATTTTCACTCAGATTTTGCACTACAACAACTGCATCAAAATTAGACACACACCCATTCGTCGTATCCTTCTTCATCAACAACTTCGATTTCTTGCTTCAATCCGCTCTCAGATCCTTCAACCAAAAACATGTTCACTTCCAATTCTCAAATAAGTCTAATTTAGTTCTCACCTTCAAAAACCACGAATTTTTAAACTCGTCAGAAGAGCACCGTGGTTACTTTCATCAAAACTCCACTATTCAATTTTGCCAAAAATTGAATTTTTTTTCTATTCAAAGGTGCTTCTTCCTCAGATATAGTTTCATTCTTAATTTCAAACCCTAAAGTTTTACATACCAAACCCTAAAGTTTTACATACCAGCTTGAAGAAACGAATAGTCCCTCTTTTTGAATTATTAAGTAGGTTTTTTAAAACTGAGAATGATACCATTGTTTGCTTAATCCATCATTCTAACAATCTCTATCATCTTATTGTTGATAATATCAATTTGATGAGTAATTTTGGAGTTTGTGATTCTAGCATTTGCTAGGCTGCTTCAAAGAAGACCATCTATATTTAGTTCAAGGAATTTGATTAAGTCATTGGAGGAAGTTAAGGGGTTTTAGGTTTGATCCTTCAAAGACTACTTTTGGGATTGCTTTTGAAGCTAGCGGAATTATACCTGAGTGAATCGCACACTTAAAGATGCAACAGAGTCGCCACCGAACTTTATTTAGTCCCAAAGGACAGAAAAAATATCGATAAAATCCAAAGGGAAGAGAAACGGGTAAGGGGGCCGGTTATGCGAAAGGAAGGTATTAGCACCTCACGCATCCGTCGTACTCGACTGGAACCAGTTCACTTGCTTCTAGGCTTGGATGAGTTATCTATCTAAAGGCTACTAGCTAAAAGGAAAAGGGGAAAGAAAAGAGAGAGAAAGTGCCCGCGGAGGATTAGGGCCCTTGTGGCTACGTATCCTCATAGTGCAATGAGGAATTCAGAGCTCCGTAGTTCATGGAACCAGGAAAGAGAGAGAAGGTGAAAGAAGGTGGCTCACCAAGATTTCGCAATCTCGTGCCTACATATCCTCATAATGCAATGAGAAATTTATAACCCACGTAGTTCGGAGAACTAGGACAAAGAAAGAAAAAGAAACGGAGACGGTGTCAAAACCAAATGCGAAAGGAGGTAGTAAGACCCTACTGTGGATGCAAAAGAATGGTGTCAAAACCATGAAAGAAAGACAAAGGAAGGTTCTACTGAGGGGCGCAGAAGAGAATAGGTGACTCCATTAGGGAGAAAACAAAAGAATGATGTCAGAATCAAGAGAATAAAGAGACAAGAATCGAGGTAAAAGTAGTATTAACAGGGGACTCAGTGCATTAACTGACAGACAGTGATTAAGCGAAGCAAGATAAGAGCAAGACTCTGTAGGGAAAGTCAAAGGTTGGTGTCAACAGACAGACTGTGATGAACCAGAATGAGAGTATTGAACCAAGGGAAGGTGTTTGACTCTCTGGAGAACTCGGTGTGTTAACTGATAAACAGTGATTAACCGAAAGAATGAGTGTGGAATCAAGCGAAGGTTGTGACCCAAATGACAAGTGTGGAACCAAACGAAGGTTGTGATAAAAAAGACGATACACTGACTGAACAAGCAACACTTGACCGAAGGAAAGGGTATTTGAACCAAAACAAAATTACCAACCCAAAGGTGCGAGTGTTTGAACCAAAGAAAGGTCGCTAGCTGTAGGAAATTTGGTGTTTTAACAAACGGTCTGTGATTAACCAAAAAGAATGAGTGATTAACTCAAGCGAAACTCAGTATGTTAACAGATAGACTGTGGTTAACTGAGAAAAAGGTGATTAACCAAGAGAATGTGATTAACCAAAGGAATATTGGTTCTAACAGGTGGACTATGATTAACCAAAGAACAGGTGATTAACCAAGGAACGATGATTAACCCAAAAGAAGGATATGCGACTTCGTTGGGGAAGAAAAGAATTGGTCTTAACCAAATAATAGTTGATTAACCAAAGAAAGGGATGATTACTAGTCTTCTAGGGAATCACCGAATAATGATTGGCCAAAAGAGAAATGAGTGTTGCATCAAATGGAGGAAGTTAAATTCAGGGACAAATGATTAGGATATAAGTGATCAAGGATCGACTCGACCGAGAATCGGAAGACACTATAGTAAGGAAATATAGACGACTATTCTAGGCACATGGTCATTTGTCCCCTACCCAAAATAATCAGAATGAGTGTAGGAATTCTCCACTCTCATTCCCTCTCTATCACCAAAGTATAGTGCGAGAATTGAAACCGACAGAGTAACGACGCAAACTTGTACAATGCTTCAATGTGTTGTGCAGACTTCCAACTCAACAAGGGATCATAAAGAAAAGAAAGAGGGAAAATCAACTAATCGAAACAAGGTTTCGATCAATCGATCAAAAGGGAATGAACAAGCCAAGAATCTTTCAAGCGAGTCGAAAGATCATCAAATGAAGAACCAACTTAATGCAATCAAGAAGAAATTGCAAGGCAGCAACAAACATCAATTAACATGCATCACTAATTATGTTATAATATGGACAAAAGGGTGCAGGAATGATCATGATCATATAATGTCAAAATTACAAACACTTACATAATCGATAAATCGAGCATCAAAGTTTGCATACATGCTTCAAACAGAGGCTAAACAGCTCATAAAACATTCACAAATATCAAGTATATCAAGTCATGGAAGTTAGATGAGGAAAGAAGATCAAACAAGCTTGAAAAAGTACAAAAATGACATTCTGGTTCAGTGTTAATCGGTTAACCATTTACTAGGCAAAAATGGTTAATCGATTAACCCTTTGAAAATGACAATTTTTTCCCTAAAACAGAGGTGTTAATTGATTAACACATTTTTCCTAGCAAATGGTTAATCGATTAACCCTGTAGCAGTGACAAAAAATGATTTTCCAAAAGCACTTACATCAACTTATCATTTATCCAATCATTCACATGTTAGGGCAAATATTTGTGCACGAAAATCAAGTCCAAAATCAACAATTAAGCATTAATTGAATCAATTAACTCATCAATGATCAAGAATCAAGCAATTAAATGATCAATTCACACCAAAAAACATCGGATCTACATTGCGAACATACATAAATGATCGAAAACAGTAAATCAAGTAAGAAATTCCAACCTACAAGGCGAAGGATTGCCTTGGTGAATGTTGCAAGTGAAATGTGATGATAATAAGCAAAGAAAACCAAAGAATTCCAAGCTTGAGATTAAATCATAGCGAAACTGATCAAAACGCGATGAAAACTCCAAACACGAATTTGCACAGAAGAAGCTTGAGATGTCTGCTTGATTTGAAGTAAAAGCTATTGTAAATCCAAAAATCCAAGTAGAAATGCAACGAAATGGAAGTTTAACTCAAGAGAATAGCAATTTTGATGTGAATATTGTTACACTCTAATGGTGGAAATTGAGCTTTTGTGTGTGGTTTGGAGAAGCAGATGAAGATGAATGTGAGAAAAAGTTGTAGAAACTTTAGAGAGAATGTGAGAGAGAAGAGTGAAAATTGAGA